GACTGGTGTGGAGTGAGAGTGTGTGTGTGTGTGTGTGTGTGTGTGTGTGTGTGTGTGTGTGAATCTGCTGGTGTCTAGGAGAGGTGGGGATGATGTATGGCGTCTCTTATGGTTGCATTTAACACATCTCACTTTTTAATTTGCCAATTACACAGCAAGCAGGACCCCAAAGTGTGGGCCATGTTTTATTAATGTGCCACTGAGCGCATGGGTGGGAGCAGGCAGGCAGGCAGGCGGGTGGGGGGGGGGCNNGGGGGGGGGGGGGGCTAGTATTAACCACCCCCACCCACTTGTCTGGGACTGGCCTAATTGGCACTATGATATTTTACTTTTGTTTAACAGCAAGAGGTTAGACATTTCCTTCCACAGTCTGCAGGCATACACACAGCAGCAAACACACCCACACATTATCGCTCTGCTTGGCAGATTTCAGGATTTCAGCTTTTTACGCTGAGAATTTTTCTATATACACAACATGAACACAGAAAGTTATTGTCTGTTCAAACAGCTCACCTTCACAATCAGTTTGTACCTTAGCTTACATAGCGTTTATGCTCATATAGGGGAGGATATTTTACGTCCATGTTGGCATAAAAAGTACAAGGATATGAAGACAAATCGCTATTGGTTCCATGCAACTTTATACATTAGGTAAGTAAGTAACATTAACTTCATTAACCAAATCAACCTGTCACAATCATGAGATCTAAAATTCAGATTATGGGATTTTAGACTTTTTAAGACTAGTTTTTTTCTAGTCCTGCATGAAAGCTGTTTATCGATTTATTTCAAATATGACAGATGAGTCACAAAGGAACCTTCACATTCTCTAAGCTAACCTCTGGTAGGAGCTGCAGGATGCCTCTGGCTGGTCAGTTATCCCACAGTGACTCAATTTTTAGAATCCCAATTTGAATCTTTTGACTTCAGTTGTGTGTATTGTATTTTATTACTCGGAGTGTGTGTGTGTTTTGATGTTTTAATGAAATGCCGGACGGGCCAAAGACAATTTTCAACCTTGGTGGATAATAAAAATTGTATTCTCTTCTGAAAATGACCCTTTAAAATAAGATGAATACATTCAATTCCTGGAGGAAAAAAAAGACATTGTGAGAAGACGTCTTCAAATGAAATATTGCATTATACCCTCCCAATTTAAAGAAATAACAGGCCACTTGATGATTAATAAATGTTGAGAGCTGCACACAAAGCAAACCAATGGCTGATGACGACTTCTTGCTCGCATTATAAGGTGTCACTATTACAAGTGATTTTATAGGCGACCTCTTCCAAACACTGGAATCTATTTCTGAAGTAGGCATGGGTTGATTTCACCCACACGCCTTGTACAGAAATCCAGAAAGTCACATTTTAGCCGCCTCCCTCTGTTGCTGGTCTGGTATCTGCCTTTGCACAAAGGCTATAAAATGTGAGCTGGCCAGGACGGGGCTCAGCTCTGCTATTTCTACCGGGGTGGCAGCTTGCTTGGCAGATCTGGCCGGCTTATTGGCACGACCCGGAGGCAACATGGGGGAGTGTTTGTTCTGTGTTGCTGTTGGACTAAGATAAAGCAGAGCAGGCCTTTACGACAAGCACACACGCGGGAGTGCACACACAGCGTCGCACGCTATTTCCAGGTATACAGTGCTGTGGAGGCTGGCTTATATCTGAGGAAAGGTCTAATTTGGGACAGGTTGTTTGTATTCACCTTCCTCAAACCTAAAAAGAGCCTATGTTCTCACACAGCACAAATGGTACCATACATCTGTGATAAAGACAGACTCTATATGTGATTGGATGTCATTTGTGGGAGCACAAAGAGTGCATGAGATGACCATTCAGCTAAACTCAGCTGTTTGTTTGTGGGCTCTGAATCCTCATTTTCACTCACTGGTCTCAGCACCCAAAACATTTGGTTCTAATGGAAGCCAAATTGCCTCACAACAACAAAACTGAAAACATCCAAGGCCTGCTTTTATTTCCAACCGATGTACATTATGCTGTCATTATGCACGAGTCACAACAACAGACGACAATTACACAAGTCTCTGTGTATTTTAATGCAATAAATGGCCTGGTATAATACTGCTTTGGAAAATGTCCTGCCATGGATTGGGCAGCAGTATAGTAATAAATATAATAGGTCATAAATTGCCTCTTTGTGCACAGTACAGGGTTCCCACTCAAGGACAAGGACAGCACTTGCTTGTCATATAAGCTGCGTTTTAAGGCAAACTGACTACATTAATTCCCATAGGTAACAGTTCATATCAAGTAGAATTTATCTTATTTTACATAACATAACTACATAACTGTACATGCATTTATCAACCACAACAACAAGAAATTTCATCAAAATCATTAGTAGGCTGTCTACATGTAGATAGGAGCATTTTGCTTGCAGCTCTGGAAAAAATAGACTCAATGCCAAAATCTGATGAACCCACGCTGAAGTGGCATACTGTTTATCCCACACAACAGTCAGGTTTCAATCTAAATACACACCCAGGTTTACATAGGGGATCTGATTTAGGAGCTAAAATACTAAATTATTCCAGGCAGATTAAAGTCCATGACTGGAAAACTACTCTCTAAATGTCCAGGTGAGCAGAACAAAACACACACAAACTATTCTCTGTGCTACTTATTTTAATATAGTGTAACGGACTCACTCATACTCATACAGGACATGAGATATGATTAGAAGTAATCATTGTCAGTTAACTGACAATGCAAGCAAATAGCTGATTGAACTGACACAGTGATGCATGTATCTGAGTTTTTAAGTGTGTGTAATGGTGTGTGTAATGGTGTGTGAGATCAGTGCACAGAGGTTACCTGTATCTCTTTGAAAGGGGGAGTCGTCTCTGGGCTGCGAGGGAAAAACACCAGCGCCAAAGTGATGGTGAGAGCCAGAAGGAAAACAGGGATAACTCCTAGCCTGCAACACACACACACACAGAGGGTAACATGAGGACTGCTGATTTACAAAGACAGGCAGTGAAATCTGAGGATAATGTCATCATAAAGTACCAATCAAAACAATGGTATTCTTTATTGTGGGTTTTATTTTTAAGTTGTTAACTTTCTAATCAAGTAAACAGCGCCATGTTTCCCCTCATTTAAACTTGACTGTAATTGCCCCTTACACAAGTGCACAGTGTTTGGTGTCACAGTGCAAACAGCACAAAAGTACTGACTTTAGTGGCTATGATGCAGAGTAATTGCACAAGCACTAATCAGCAGGGACTGGAAGGTGCATGGCTGCAGCAATCCACAAGTCTCTCTGGGAAGACAACCGAATAATTAGGTGGCAAAAAACACGAGTGATTGAGCAGCCTCTCTGTGAAATCCAGGTGATAAATAGTCTTCCTCCGCAGTCAATCATACATGCTAAAAAAACCCTAAAGGGCTTCTGTGAATCTGGGTTCATTATATTTCAGCTTTGAGTTTCTTGATATTCCGACATTTTTTCGCTGCCTTAAACACAGCGCTGTTCAACAGTGAGCAACACCTCATTTGCTGGCTTTTTTGCTTAAACAGCGGGCTGCCTGAATTTACGACAAGAACTTCTTAATTCCACAGTGAACTCCACATTGAGCTACTCGTGTTCCAGAGTGTGTGTGTGATTTCACCGACACGCAAATCGACATTAAAGTGGCGGAAATGCGGCACTGACATCCTATGTGGGCTGTGTCTCTGTTAGGATTCGGATGTGTGTGTCGGTGCTGTGGTCACTCACTTTGCTGATCCAGATGCTCTCAGCAGCATCATCCCAAACACCAGAGCCACAATCCAAACCACCGCAATGACGAAAACGCCCGTACCGACCTCCAACACGGTGCTTGCCATTTTTGTTAAGCAACGTTTCAACAGTTAACCGGTGAACGGGCAAAATGGGATTTTACGACCGACGTGTGAGACATTATTAAGCACTAATGTGGTTAAACAAGCCACCCTAGGTTATATAGCATTACCCACATTAGCTAGCGGTAACTTCCACCGTTGTGAGGGTAAATTAGCCTTCACTGCTAACGCTAGCTCTGCTATGCTGAGACCGATAGCGTCATGCTAGTAGAAAACGTATGTTACGATGTTCGCCACGCAACTTTTCTTCCGTAAAATGTATCTTTTCTGTCCATTAGCTGTCAATTATCACACTAATGAGTTCAAGGGATAGATAGCAGCGTTCGGCTCCAGCGCGTCTTCTACTTCCTAGTAACAGCAAAATGGAGTTTGATTGGATACACGCACTCAAGACGGGCCAATCATGTGCGCCGTTACTGAAACATCGAACAACGCTTTGTAAACGGGTTACAGACTTTCGTCGGACTTTTTTATACCACTCATACGACACCCGTCACTACTTTCACCAGTTCTGTGTACCTAAAACAGCCTGCATTCCTTATACACTCACAGAACATTCTACTCTATTCCATTCAGTCACAATATAAGATGAGGTAGAGCAGTTCATAATTCAAAATGAATAAACCAGCCCATTCCACTACAGCTAACCCACACACACACAGGCTCAGAACCTGGACGGGTACTTTACACGCTCTTTTAAGCAGTAATAATACACTCGAGCCTTAAAGCACATTTGATCCAGGCGCAGTTAGACTATAGGCTCCAATTATCACCGCAGGCGTTCATTCAGTAAGTGGCTTTGCTGGTGGCTGGTTACTGCAAATCACTGCAGCGGATACCTGTGTCCTTTGACAATATAGCCTACTTAAAAAAACATCTATTATACAGTGGTCAACTGACTGCACCGGCTTTGGTTTGAAAGTTTGACGCCCCCTCTTCTTTTCTTTGGATCAAATCGGTTCCTTTCTGTGTTTCTCGCTGGGAACATCCAAACGAAGTAGAAGCACTGTTTGCAGCACTGTTTGCAGCACTGGTACCCATCACCCAACGTCTTTTTGAAGAATGTAATTATGAATGCGGACCGACAGGGGGCTGGCCAGATCTGCGCTTCAAAAGGCACGTGCGTTTTCGGCGCGTGCGTGAGCGCGTGCGTGGCCGTGCGCTCCAGTCCCACTTGAAGTGCTGGAGCCTCTGTGCGCTTACTGGAAGGAGACATGTTGCCTTTAAGTGACACCTCGTAAGATCCAGTCACCCAGCGTTTATGAATGATACGGACACTTTAGACTGGGTGTGATGTACTTGGCGTTCTCACCGCGTTTGCCTGGAGTTAATTCATTAATCTCTATTAGTCTCATCGAGACCTGAGAACAAGAAACATTCACAGAAACCACACCACTGACAAGGAATCAATAGAAACAGCTGCAAGAATCGCAAAAAACAAAGAGATAATACAGCCAATGGGAATGCAACACTCGAGTTTAAGGGCAGATTGTGGTTTAAGAGGTGCATACATGAAACCAGACCTGCCAACATTAGTGCGTGCAGCAGGGATATCTATGGTTAGGTTGTTTCTGGACTGTATACTGTAGATTTAAATGAGAACAGAGATGTTAACTCCCTCAGGAATTCCCTCAGGTGATTTGATTTCCTCCCTAATCCCAACAAAATCAGGCAGATTAAAGACTCGCTATTGCCTGAGTAGCGGTGATTTTTCTCCGTTTCCTAAGGAACCTGACTGATAACATCATATCCAGGGTCTTGTTTCTTGTCTGGTAAACCGGAACAGGTAGGGAAAAGGCTGAATTAAATGAGCACATGGCCTGTATTAGATGAGTGAATAAATAAAGTGTATGTACCCATACATGGTTGCATCACTTGTTTCTCTGGTTGTCTGTAATCCAGTAGTTTAGACCAGAATAAGTCAGGGGCCATCTGCCCACAGGAGAGCATCGGCATAATTGGAAAATTGATAAATTCATTTTAAATGTAGTTTCTTGCAAATAAGTCTAAACCTGACATTCATCATTGGAGATTGTAGACACTTTTGATCAGGAACAACTAAAGTATACAGGAAGAATTCATCATTGCTGTGATTCAGTGTTCCCATACAACCTTAACAGACAGCAGGGGGGTACCTTGAAGCCCCGCACACGCGATTGCCGTATTTCCCACGGACACTGGAAGGCATCAGCAGCCCGGTGTTGGGAAAACGGGGAGCCGAGATGGAGCTGGAGGTGGGAGGGGCCTGGCATGGCTGACGTCAGCGGCTGTGTGGAGGAGTATAGGCTGTGCTGTCAGCCCAGTGTCAGTCTGATGAAGATTGGCATGCAGGTAAGCTGTCATTCATTTTCAATGTCAGTGCATGGGAGCAGGGCTTTACCACTTGAGCGTCCTTTTTTTTCCCCTTTACCCCCCCTTCATTACAAAAGGCAGGACATTATTCATACAGTCAGACAGCCAGCCAGGCCAGAGTGAGAGAGGGAGAGAGAGAGGGAGAGAGAGAGAGGGAGGGAGAGAGAGAGTGAGGGAGGGAGAGAGAGAG